AATGTGTTCCTATTTCCACTAGTGAAAATATCTATTTTACGAAATGGAAAAATATTGGTATTTCATAGATAATTTTAATTATAAAAATAATAATTATTAAAATATTATATGATAAATTCATATATTCATTGACGTCGTCTCACTTTTAAGTGAATTGAGTTAACATCGAAAAATAAAAAAAATTGTCAACTCGGAGCATGATTAMCCGAATCGYATCATTTTCAATCRAGTCCATTTTTAACTAGCTTTTGAATGAAGAAATAGAGCAAAGCCCCTAACTTTTCTATATTGCATGACATTYAATATTTGGATGCTTTTTGGATTGCATGTCAATATACGACTTAAAGATATACTTTAGGAAGTACAAAATCTGAACAAGCTCCCACTTCAATCTATTAAGATGAAAGTTTCTATCCTTTTTTTCTAATCAATATTTAATTACATGAAAAACAAATACTAGGAATGAAATGTGAACATTTCTTTACACTGATGTTTATCAAAGTTTCTATTTCCTCCCCAACTTCAGGTGAACAGATATGACTTTTCATTTATTTGTGAAAGTGATAGACATTTCCTTTTTACTGTTCCAAATAGTTTGGTKACGAATCCAATGACGATCTTGGTATTTGCTAAGAAACCTTCGTTCGATTGTTTTATTGTCAATTAAGGATCTATTTATAACTACATCCTGAATGTCGTTCCTACCAGTAMATCCCTCTTTTGCTTTCAGTGTCCACATATTAACAGTGTATTTCAGTCTCTTGTAATTGGGAAGATAGTTTAAGGTATTTTTGTCTACTCGGCTGTTTCGGCATAAACTAAGCAAACCTGTTGAACTCTAATGCTTTACATCCTGTTTTGACGTTAAATAAATACAGCTGAGTGTTTATCATTTATCATACCTTAATTAGCTGCAATGACAGTTGTATTTATATTAAGAACTTGGTTAATTGCTTCATATGTTTGTCAAGTCTATTTATACTGAGCTTCTGCATACCCAGGTTCTATCCTTACATGTTGCGGGTCAAGAGACTCAAGAAGCGATAACTGCACAACGTTATTGAAGACACGTTTTGAAGATGGAATCTTTAGTGACTCTCTTGATCACATGTTTTTCAGTACTGTCTGTTCAGTTAACATCTCGAATAACTGAGGCCCAACAATGTCAGGCTTCAGTAGATGGAATATCTCTCTCTGGTCATGTCATGTCGACTGTTGTTGTTGATGATATCGGTAGTTGTTCGGACAAATGTGCAGTCACACCAGGCTGTCAGAGCATCAATTTCTACATGAAAAGCTCTCTCTGTGAGTTGAACAACAAAACAGTGGAGAACACGCCCAGCCATAAAGTACAAAACAATCGTGCTGTGTACTTTAAGAACCCAGGTCAGTCATTAGACTTCAGAATTTTTTTTTTCTTTGTTCAATTTTGCTTTTTTATAACAATATTTTACAACATTCGTCCCAAGAGCTCAAATGCCTCATCTAGAAGAATTAGTGTCTCATTAATTACAGCAAGAGATATGAGAATTATCAGCAAATGGAAGGACTGCCTTTAAGCAAAATATAGANGTATACTTCACGAAACTCTCTTTCGAACATTTCGAGGTCGATGTTACTAAACGATGCCTAATTATATTACTACATATTGTGTACATTTACCATTTACTTCATGACCTGCGTTAAATCTTGACCAGCACTCAGCAAAAACTGGAATAGTAGTTGTGTATATAAACCACTGCAGCCTCCATATTGTAAACACAAAGTCATTAATATCAACATTTCTTAAATGAGATTTTAAACGGTCCCAATCAGTCCAATAACGCCAGTGTTTTTCCTCGTTGTAGGTTACACTATTTATGAGTGTTCTTGAGTCATGACAGAACATTTCAGGGTCAAAAACAGCCAAAAATATTTTTGGAAATTGTCCTTCGTGTCGTTGTAATTTCTCGCTTGAAGTGAATCACTAATGAATTTCAATGAATTTTCAACAGACTGGCTCATGCGCACACCAAATGGCCCCTTGTTGTCAATATGGCTCATGATGAATTCAAGGATTATTCCGTCGATTAGTATTTAATGCTCATCGATTCATATAAACTTTATCCTTCGTAAAAAATCGATGCATGAACGACACTACAACAAGCCAAGAACTCGAAATATAAATTTTAAACGGTCAGCATTCAAAGACAATGTCAAAGTGAAAGTATCATCACTTCAAACTAAGAAATTGTGATGGTGTTGATAATTCATTGTCGATATCGTTATAAGGTGTTACGTATGCATATGAATTATTAAATTCAAAATTTCAAGTTCAATATTTTTATTTTATAGATTTTTTGTCGAAATTCGACCATATTTTAACAAAGTCTGAGGCTTCATAAAGATTTATCATGTCCACGTATACTTGTCTAACAATCTTCGAGTTGTGTCGCCATTGGCGGCTTGATTTTTTGTTAATCTATTGTGTTCTGTGGATACTGCAATGCATGAATTTGTCAGAGTATTGGAAACCCTCCACAAACCAAGCCTTACTCTGAAATATTCACTGACGACAGGATACTATGTTTTTTATGTAGTCTTAATTATTGATTTACTGTGACAGGTTCCGGTAGCTACGCGTATTCCACTAAAGCTTTCCTGTTCTCACTGTACAACACACGTGGTTACAGTCCAGTCAAGTTACCTGTTGTACAGAATCACCATGCTGCTATATGTAGAGGCAGTGGTTATGGTCCTACATTCGGTGGTGGACATGACATGCACATATCTAACCAGGCATCAAGTAATACTGGTAGTTACTTCAACAGTGGGAACACATACAAAGCTCCACCAGGTGGCAGTAGCTCATTCTACACAGGCAGCAGTCACTTTACACCCAGTGATGTTGAGGTTTTCTATGAAACCACTAACTAGCAATGAAGCTGTCTGTAACTGCATCAAAAAGGGATTGTAATTATTCTTAGAAAGGCTGCAGCATATATTTTACAAAAAGTGAAAATGCTACGTTGAATTAAAAAATTGTCCTTATGCATGATGCTAGATTGAAAAAATAATGAAATCACCTCACCTTGACTGCAGTACTTTATTTTATTTTGATTTTGTTTTGTCAGTAATCCATTTCACGGTTTTCTACAGCGGGATTAAGAAATCAAGCTGAGATCATAAAAGGTTTTTGTCATGTTACAAAGGAAAACTCATGAAATACATACTGGAATAAAACTGCAATTGTATGAAATAGTGATGTAAGCAATTTCTCATTAGGCAAATTTATTCATTAACACTCTTTGATAATTGCGGGATTTTTTTGGATAATAACTGAATTTCACGTATTATAATAACATCCACATCAATTGGCTGACTGATTCTGAATTTTCACAGAATGAACTCTGAAAGAATTAATGAAAAATACCGTTTTAAAGAACTAAGCCCGACACTGCTGTCAGAAATCCATGATGCTACAACCTTTCTGAGCAAATAAAAATAATTCTAAAGTAGTTCTAGGCTCAATATATCTGAGTGATTTCATGTAACCAAGTAAAAGCACAGCTATAAGATAATGTTTGTAGGGTGATGGTTTAGTCTCTCAATAANACGCTTCTCTGGTGTTCTGTTCGTCGTGTTTGTAGCGACCTCCCTGTTTCACCAATATAAACTGTAGGACAGTCAGCACAAGGGATTTTATAAACGACTCCGGTTTTCTTTGAGTCTTCAAGCTTATCTTTTGGTCTTGATATCATGCGTCTAATGGTATTAACTGGTTTACTCGCTACTCTGATGTTATGTTGTGATAGGACTCTGCTACCGAATTGTCATCCAAGGAAATCGCAACGTTACTATCGTTTTGCTTAAACGCAGCAGACTTCCAATTCAAAGGCAAGTTTTATCATCAATTGCATGGAACGGCAATGGGGTCACCTGTGTCAGTTATTGTTGCAGAGACAAACAGAGACACTGGCAGAACAATACCAGAAACATACAAACCATTATTTAAGTTCATTTAAGTTTTTTGTTACATATATATATCTAATTGCTTCACTGTCATAGTCTGGCATTTATTTTCTTTTCACTCCATTTCATTTCATTCCATTCCATTTTACATTTTATCTATTGTAATTAGCTCAGGCTGTATTGCTATGTTTCCCCGCGCGCTTTCCGTTTTTTGCGTTGTTTAAAATCTTACGTGTACTCTACCTTGATAATGGCCGCTTAGGCCGAAAGCTCGGTATTAAAAATATCACTAGTAAACGCAGAGGACTCATTTATTTCTAGAAATTATGCCTGCGTACAAAGAAATTCTAAACATTGTTTCACAAGAGTGCGGGAAGGAAACTTTCCAACTAACGAGAAAGCTATTTGTACTTAATGGAAACTTAGCAAGACAGCGATCTCATTTTGTTCTTAAACCATCGTTGTAAAGAAGATAACATTTTGCCGAAGTCTTTGCGCATCAGGCCACCGGTAAGAAACCATCAAGGCTATGAAATCAGTAGACGTTTTGGTTTTTCCTTTCTGTCATGCATTACGAATCAAAGAAAACCACAAAATGATAAATCAGCTTGCTACAAAGATTAATAGTATAAGCTAACGATGTTTGTATAAGTCAACGATGTTTGTTCACCAAGACTATGGAGAAGTATATCTCGTAACCTAAAAGAACATTATGACTTCATATTTCAAGCAACCAAAACCAAGCATAAAGAAAAACTTGACAAACTTCGTAACGACAATGGGAATGCTAAAATCGATGACACGAAAAAGAAAGAGTGGATGTTAAACCTGTCATCTAGAAAGCTTAGTAAAGATGAAACATCTGTCCTTTCCAAAGGAATGAGCTTTGCTATAGCTTCAAATAAAGTTCCAGTAGATCAATTCATTGTTGAGACCGAAAGCTCAATTTCCTCTTTAAGTTCTGATGCAAAGGCAGAGATAAGAAGTAAGGTATGCAGTATTCTATCAAGTTCTAAACCACCTAAGAGTAATCTCTCAAGCAATGGGATGAAAGCAATAAAGACACTCCGTTCTGAAAAGGACATAATTATACTCAAGGCTGACAAAGGGAACTCCACCGTGGTAATGGATCGAAAAGAGTATGACCATAAGATCGAAACCATGCTTAGCGACAAGACAACATACAAAGTTCTTAATTCCGATCCCTCTAAGAAATGTGAAAAAGACCTCAAATCTCATTTATCAAAATTAAAAGAAAAACTACCAGAATCCGTTTACAAAGCGATCAACACCACAGATGGAATCACACCACGTTTTTATGGGTTACCTAAAATCCGCAAAGATGGTATTCCATTAAGGCCAATAGTGAGCTTTATAGGCTCACAAACATACCAACTATCCAAGTACCTGATAGATAGATAGATAGATAGATAGATAGATAGATAGATAGATAGATAGATAGATAGATAGATAGATAGATAGATAGATAGATAGATAGATAGTTTATTATAAAATACATAGGCAGCCAAGGGCTGAATTGCGTATTTACAAAATATATAATATAATTATTAATAATAAATATTCGTCAATAAAAATTCCAAAAACTACTATATCTATAATATAATTTGGCTTAAAAAGATTACTCCGCTAAAAATTATTATTAATATAGCTGCTCATTATAAACGTGTTTCTGAAACGATCCGTTTTCCATTTTGGAATGTTGAAACGTCTATTGCTCCTTAAGGAATATACAGCGTTGCAAGTTGCGGGCAACAAACTATGCAACCGATTATTCGGATCACTAATTACAGAGTAGGATACCTTATCACAAATTGCATCATTATATGACTCTAATGAAAGAATGCCTAGTTTCGCAAGGGCATCATTGTACGATACACCAGGGCAAATAATTGATAAAGCTCTTTTCTGGACACGTTCCAATTCGTATTTAAGATACTGCGGAAGTGAATAATGGAAGACTGGTACTGCATAACTTAAGACTGATCTTATACATGTTGTGTAAAAANAGTAATTCTTAACTTGAAAAAATAAATTCCTTGGGACATAAAGTATTGTTATAACGTTATATAAGCCGGCCTTTTTTTGACCATAAAAACCTTATATCAACAGAAACAAAATTATTTTAAAGAAGGAAGGGCGGCAACATTTTTCAACAGCTCAAAATCCCTTTCCCATGAAAMAATTCGTACAAAAACAGTTATTTAGAAGAAAGGACTCCGTCAGCTCCTTCTGAATCAACCCTTTAATGTAGTGCGCTGTTTTGAACAGGCTGAATTACTGTTACATTCACCCGCATTTCTTTGTATTGTATCTAAATGTTGTTTTTTGTTTTACTTAGATCCTCTACCACCAGAGCCTGGTAAGTGTTCTTTTCCATTTTGTTGATTGTTAATTGTTTGAAAACGTTGCATTTTTTAATGATACTATGGCGACAAGACAAATTTTCCTGATCCGATATTACATGTGATTAGTGGCCGACCGCGGTTAGAATGTTCACTTATTGGTGAACACAATATTTTTGGAGGCAAAATTGAAAAAAACATATTTAACGAATCCTTCTTCTACCTGTCACACGTATGATATCTTTTTGGTAACAAAATTAAAAATTGTTTTTAGGCATCATCAATATTTTTCTTTCTAGAACTCATTAATAATTCATGAGCTATTAGTCCAATCAGAATCCAACTATTGGGTCACATGATGGACCTTTATATCCCGATAAAGCACTGATGTTTTATTAATCAGTTCTATATCAGAGATATAGAACTGATGTTTTATTAATCAGTTCTATATCAGATATAAAGAACTGATGTTGAAGGTCATCAGCGCTTTATCGCAAACCAACACTAGCAAAGGTCTCAGTTTTAATGTCGCATCATAGACCGTTGCTAGGTTTTAAATCAGTTTGAATCAATGTGCAGATATGCAGTATAGCATAGACTAGCCGTYCTTAYGTGTGGGATCAAAATTCTTTCATTTGTGACAAATGCACATGCTCAGTAGAAGTTTAACATGCATAATCTCTGTTTTCGCATTTTTGAGCTTTTTTCTAAAATGATAACAATTTCTGGATGTTGGAGTTCTAGAAGTAGTATAAAAAACTCGCAKTCGTGCTTTATCGGGGATATAGACACTCGACCTTTGGCCTCGTGTCTATATCTCCCGATAAAGCACTCCTGCTCGTTTTCTAAACACTACATAGAATTTCAAAAGTAGCTCTCTGTCCTTTCGGTGTTTCTTCTATTTTCCTCACCGCATGCATTGTTCCCTTCRGTAGCAATTCAAAGTTGGCTAGTGTTTTCGGCGCAATTAGTACTAAGAGAAATTCAATATGTCCCCAAGATTGTTTATTCTTTTAATTACTGTTATATTTTTTGGCACCGTAACCTGTCAAATCAATACAGCTTTTTAAAGCTCTAAAAAAAAACTTCTTAAAAGAAGTTTTTAGCATCTTATCTTGTCCGATAGACGGTTCACTCAAAAGTAATCGTCCTTGTTTCTCGATAGACGGATTACTCAGAAGTAATCGCCCTTGTTTCCCGATAGAAGGTTCCCAGTCGTTTTCCCAGTCGTTGTAAAGCCGTGCGGGATTCGCCGAGCAGTCGTGGAAAAAAATTGTGCTTGCATTTTATAACCATGCCGCCCGTCGAGGTCTTGACACGGTAATAAAATGACGATCCGTCACGAGAAGACCAAAGGGATTGAGCTATTTATGTTTTTCGAATTTAGTCTTTAGGCATTCGCTTGTTTTTACACAATTTAAAAATTATGCAAATACTTCAGGATTTGTTTGACCGACAGAGATCTCATCGATTTCACCGGCAAAATAACGGGTGAAGTTGTGCGGAATATCTTAGCGCCCGCGTCTTTGAATATAGTTCTTTTTCCACTTTCTTATCTTATATCCACTTATATCCTGTGCGACAATAATTTCCTTAAACTTGGCTACAGTTTTGTGCCCTAAATAAATTTTGCAAATGATCATCCATCTTAAAAATAGTGCCATAAAAACATCACATTGTAGAATTAAATCAAAATTAATTAATTGATTTAAAGCGTGGCTGTTTTAAAGTATTCCAAACCTTTGATAGCGTTAATAAATAGTCGTGGTTTCATTAGACATGTCTTCATCAATTCTATGATTATGCACTTTATAGAGCTTCTGAATGGGGGTGACTTTATAACACTAAACGCTATTCTTTAGGCCTCTGTAACACGAAACATTAAAATCTCAGGCCTTATAACACTAACATTAAAAAAATGGCCGTAACAGTTATTTTGTTACGAAAACAGTGAAAAAATCAGGTTAATGGGAACAACATAATTATCCTATACGACCTGTAATAAGCAATTTAAGAGTGAATGTCAGCATGCATCAAACAAATTCAAAAGTTCGTGGCAAGTGTAAAAAATTAGATTTCGCTCATATTTGGTACCTTATTATGTCTGA